TGAGAGCCATTACCTAGGGCCTATTGATGATGGATCTAGCAGCTGGCAGCCCCCCCATCCCCTTCCCCTACCTCAGCTGGCACTAAGATAAGGTCCACCTGAGGGCCCAGCAGGTACAAAACAGCAATAACAAAACTCTTGAACTCTGTAAATATTCTGGGGACCCACTTGCTAGGATTTTCTCCCTGAATCACTATAATCTTGCTGTGAGTTTATTCGTTTTCTGATTTCTTTGTAAAGATGGATACAGAAGCTAAGAAAGGTACCAGTTAGAGCAAATGTACAGCTGGATTTGCTTCCTAAGTTTGCTGAAGTGCTGGCTCTTCTGAGCTGGCTTGGGTAGTGGGGAGTGAGGCTTGATTTGCTCCATATCCTAAAGAGGTCATTCTGGTTCTGATCCTGCATAGGCTTTGACAGTAGGAACCTCTAGTTGCTATGCCTGAGCCTTTTGATACTCTGTCCTCACTCTCCCCTTCTCTAGACCTGTGTTGCTGGAGGGCAATAGACCCCCAGGAACATTGGGTGTTGTTAGGCCTAGTGATTGAGGTATCTGCCTGCAGGCACATAGGTCCTCAGCCTGTCTTGGAAGGAGACAGTTGTACACTGGGCATGGAGGAGCCTCTAGGTGTGTTCATTTTCAGCTGGAGCTACAGCTGGGAGGCCTTTCCTGGATGGAGTGTGGGCTGGGCAGAGCTTATGATGGGTGGACTCTGGTTTGTTTCAGGCTATTGGACTTTGCTCCATCCCTCCCTGTTTTGCTGGGTTCTCTCTGTCTGACTCCCATGCCTTCCGGGCCAACCAGAAGGAGCCATAGGGCAGAGTGGCACACTTTGATGTTTTGTTTGGAGTTTTGGACCTGCTACCTAATGGTTCTGTGAGACTTGGATATAGGCAGTGCCTAGAAGGTGAAATCTAGACTCTAAAAGCAGGTGCTTTTAGAGTAGTTTCCATCTGTGTAAGTGTATGTGCGTGCAAGTGTGTTCATGTGCACAGATGACTTCCTCAGTTGCTCCCAGGTGTGGTTGAGGTTTATTGTGGACATGGGGAAGAAAGCAGCCAGAGAGCTCTGGAAGGGTCTAGACTGAACATGGCCATGAGAGGAGGCGGGGGGGGGGGGGCCCGAGAGGGGAGAGAGAGGAGAGAGAGAGAGAGAGAGAGAGAGAGAGAGAGAGAGAGAGAGAAAGAGAGAGAAAGAGAGAGAGAAAGTAAAGTACCTGGGAACCCAGAGACCAAGAGGCCAGTAGCCAAACTGGCTGGGGTTATTATATAGGAATCAGAGGCTGGAGGAGGGAAGCCCATTCCAGTCCGTGGGCTGGAAGAGTTTAGGGTAGGGAATGTGGTGTTCCAGCCATGACTCTAACAGGTACTGAGAGATGCTGGCTTTGATATGTTAGGTAGGCACCTCAGCCATTTGTCCTGAGTTTGAGACCTAACATTCTCCCGCCTTATTTGTTTACTTACATTTTTACTTTTTAAAATCTCAGATTTTTAAATGTGTGCGGGTGTTTTGCCTGTATGCATGTCTGTGTACCACATGTGTGCCCTGCTCTCAGTGGCCAGATGAGGGCATCAGATCCCCTGGAATAGTTGTGTGCTGCTATGTGGGTGCTGGGAACTGAACTTGTGTCCTCTGGACACTGGACACAAGTCAGTTCTCTTGGTTTTCAACTGTTCTCAACTATCTCTTCAGCTCAGATGGATGACCCAGGCCACCTTCAAACTTGGATCCTTTTTCCTCTTTAGCATTTCCTACTGATGTAAAATACCACAGCCAGCATCTCATTATTTTTTAGACCTTTAGACCAAGGCCTAAACAAATAAGGTTGGGGAATGTTAGGTCTCAAGACCTCGTGTTTCAGAAGATGCTCACCACTGCACCTGTGCTGGCCGGCTTCAGAGATCCGTCTGTCTCTGCACTCCTGCCACCCCCACCCCCACCCCCACCCCCACCCCCACCCCCACCCCCACCCCTGGGATTTTGAGGCAGCAGACGGACTATCCCCAGTCTTTAGATGCAGGAGATCTGAATTCAGGTCCTCATGGTTATGTGGCTGAGCCATTTCCTTAGCTCCTTGTCCCCCCCCCCAAAAAAAAAAAAAAGGTTGGGTCTTATTTAGCCCAGGCTGGCCTCCAACTTGGTTTGTAAGTTAAGATGACCTTGAACTCCTGATTCCGCTGCTTTCCACTAAGTGCTGGAGCTTCAAGCATGTGCTGTCACACTGGGTATCTTACAAACTCTTTACAAATTGCTTTAAGGGCTAGCAAGATGGCTTAGTAGATAGAGTCCAGGTTCCTGTGAACATGCTGAATCATCTGAGTTTAATCCCTGGGTCCTGCAGGTAGGTCTCTGAGCCTGAGGCCAGTCTGGTATACAGAGCAAGTTTCAGGACAGCCAGGGCTACACTGAGAGTGCTTCTCTTAAAAGGAGAGGCAGGGGAGGCAGGGAGGGGGAGAGAGAGGTGTTATTTGAGAGAATTAAGAACTTTGGCATGTTTGTTTGGTCTCTGGCCATATATTTTGACGCACCAGCTTGACACTGGGGTTAAGGATACGAAAACGTAAAGTCCTGACCCCTGTACTTGGCAGGTCACCGACCTGTGGTGGTGAAGGGTTTTGTCAGGTCCCTTAGGGGTTGTCTTGGATACCTGGGTGAAACCTCCAGGGGAAGTGGGTCACTCTCTCCTCCTCGTGTTACGCTGCCCAGCCTTCCTTTGACAGCCAGCCTTCCTATGACAGCCAGCCTTCCTATGACTTCCTTTGACTGTGACCCTGTATAAGGCAGTGAGGAGAGCTGAAGTGGAGAGATTTCGGCTGCTGGGGTTAGCTCTGGAAGTGTCAAGGCAGGGGTGGGCATCTGTGCCCTCTGCAGGCTTTCCTGTGGTGGGCTGAAGTTGCTGGGGAAGAGATGTCTCAAGGGGAGGGTGATCAGGGCCGTCAGGACTGTAGAGGCAATGGTCTGTGATGAAGAGAGAGGGCTGAACGTGTTGGGCACCCTTGGTGTGTGTGTGTGAGCTCATTTCTCTCTTTCCTTCTCCTGGGAATGGGAAATCCCACGTGATCTTTCCTCACTTTGATTGTGGATACTGGGTGTTTTAGGCATGCCAAGTGGGTTCAGGCCATGAGAAAAGAGAGGTGGTGGCCAGTCAGAGGGTGTAGCCAGGCAAATGGGTGGAGGGTGATGGGGATCTTCGGCCAGCCTGCATCCTGCTCCTGTGCATTGGCTAGGGTGCCACCATCCTTCAGTAGGGATAGTGACCCCGCTCTTACTTAGGCTGAGTGGGCTAGTTCTGTTTCTTGGCCGTCGGCCCAGTTCCATCTTCCTGAAGCCAGGCACTGGTGATCAGCAACAGCCTGGCTGTCATCACAGGGCCAGCGCTACTCCATGCTGGTGGTCCCCGCAGTGTTCATCAGGGGAATCTGAAGTTTTGAGGTGGTGGGACTTTTCCATGTGATTACTTACTGTGAGTTGGAATTTATAGGCATATGTAAAGAAATCTACTTTTTCTAGTGTCATTTCACCTGGAAGTGACACTTGGGCTATCAGCAGTCAGGATCTGCGTTCCACCGATGGTAATTCATGGTTCGTCACACTCGCCACCAGGGCACCCACTAGCTTACTTGCGTTCCACCAGGGCCAGCATACAGTCTGTTAATTCTGTCGGCCGGAGCTTTCAGAAGCTGTTGGGATGAGCAACTGAGGCAAACCCAAGTCCCCATGCAGAATTGTAGCTTTGCAAGAACAGTCTCTGTCCTTAAAACTAGGTCCAGGGATGACCATGTTAACCAGCTGTTGGTTCCTAAGCACAGAGACTGGGTGGGACATTTGGGAGAGTCAGGCTAGGGGCTGCTCACTCTCTGAGATCCAAGGTCTTTTTAATCTGGGAGTTCTGTGGGCCTTTCAGAGCTGGGGCTCTGAGGTTTGCTTTGGGCTCCCCAGATGGTGCACGCCCTGGGGGATGGGTCGAGCTGAAGGACCTCTCAGGGCTGCCTTTTCTTTTCAAGGATAGCTGAGTTAGTGGGCACTGAAGGTGTGACCTTGGGTGACACCTATGGGTCTTACAGTCACACCCCCTTAGTTGTGCAGCCTTTGGTTGTATGTGAGCCTTACAGAGCGCACAGCTATTGGTCGCTCAGATTGTAGGAGCCAGCTCCGCCCTGCTCTGGCTGTCTGCATGGCACTTGGAAGGCTGAGGCAGGAGGAATGCCTTGAGGCTAACCTGGGCTATAAGAGTGAAACTTTCGTTGTAAACAAGAGCAGGAACAACAAAAAGAATTGGCCCAGCACCTCCAGGGGCCCTCCTTTCCTGGGGAAGCTGTCACACAGCTGGTGTATGGGATATGGTATAAAGCCTGTTCTGCCCTACTCTGGGGTCCCAATGCCCCCTTTTACTGTAGCAGATCCCTCTCCGCCTTTTACCTGAGAATCAGGTGTTCTTCTCCAGGTCTATTTATTGGTTCTTTCAAATGGCAGGGCCTTATTATATAGCACAGATTGTCCTCGAACACAGGGTCCTCCTGCCTCTGCCTATGTTGGGATTAAAGGTGTTAGCTACTATGCCCAGCCTCCTACCCTCTTTTAAATATAATGGTAGTTCTGGGGATTGAATCTAGAACTTTGAGCATGCTAGGCTGCTCAACTGAACTACAGATTTAGCCCTGTTTATTGTAAAACATATACTCCTGTATTCTGAGGCTCTTTAGATAGGGTAGCTCTTGGGGTAGCCTGAGAGTGGTTATAAGGCTTTTTCTTGAGACCCACTCTTAGGTCAGTTTTACCCTTTGGGGCATCACAAGCAGGGGCCCAGAGGCTGGGTGAGTTGTGGGGGAGACTCCCACAATAATCTTGGGGTAGGTTAGGGTTTATAATCACTGGGTAGCTTGCTTTCTGTTACCTCTGTATGTGTGTGTGTATGTGTATGTGTATGTATGTATGTATGAATGAATATATGTATGTGTGTATATGTATTTATTTATATTGTTTATATGTATGAGTGCCTATAGAGGCCAGAAAAGGGTGATGGTTCCCTGGGGTTGTAGTTACAGGTAGTTTTGAGCTACTGAACTCAGGTCCCATAGAAGAACTGGAAAGACCCTTAATGATTTAGCTGTCTCTTCAGCCTCCCCCTGACCCCACAACACACATGCTTTTTTACTGAGACAGGGTCTCATGTAGCATGTAGCTCAGGCTGACTCTGAATTTGCTATGTGTTTGAGGATGCTCTTGAACTTACCCAAATGCTAGTGTTCCTGGCATGTTGCTTGTTGTCCGAGACAAGAGTTTTCCTGTGTATCCCAGGCTGGCCTCAAAATTCTGCCTGCTCAGTGTTGAAACTACAGGTGTGTGCCATCATGTCCTTTCTGTCTCATTTTGCCCAGAGTGTCCGTCTCACAGGGCCTGCAGGCTCTGGAGGAGGTGTGCAGGGCGACTCCAAGGACTTCAGAGCATCCGTGGCTGTGCCTGGCTCTGAATCCCTATCTCCTTCCAGATGCCCACCACTCCCCTTTTGGGGGCTGGGAGAAAGGAAGCATCCTGGGGTGAAGCTCTCTCCCTACCCTAAACTCTGATTAATCTGTGAGCTAAGAATGTACCAAGGGAACAAAGGACAAGACAGGCAGCATTCTCTCCACAGATGGGATGCTGGATCAGCCACTTCTCAGGACAGTTTACCCTGACCTACTCCATGGAGGCTCTTTATACAGAGACCTCGTCTGTCAAGTGGGAGACAGACCTGGGCTCTCTCCCACTGCTCACATCCCCAGGTTCTGTGAGAGATGCAAGCCCTGCAAGAGGGTGGGCTGGGGCCCTGGGCTTTTGGGCCCTGAATGAAGGGCTTGATGAAGTGGGAAGGGGATGCTTTGCCTCCAAGCCTCCTGCAGCGGCCAGCAGGGACCTCATTCCCAGCTGTCCGACCTTTCTGTGGGAGAGGAAGCTGAGGCCCTGGAAGGGGCAGGGGTGTGGTCCTTTAGGGAGCTGAGGCAGGACAGATGGGGTAAGTTGGGTAGGGCTGGACAGGTTTCAGCTGTTTCCAGCTGCTACAGATGTGTTTCCCTCCGGGGCTCTATGCAGCCCATTTTCCCTGGGGATAGAGACCGGGGCCAACTCAAGGCAAGAGAGTTAGACCTGCCTCCTTCTTGACCTCAGACTCCCACTTCAGTGAGATGAGAGGTGTCAGAGGCCTTTTTTTTAAAAATTTCCTCAGACCCAGAGTATATGTTCCCTTGACTCTAGCCTGGAACAGGTCACCCTGGGAGGGCCCCTCAGGAAGAGGCCAGGGCTGTGGCTTTGGGTGGGGCTGGAGGCCTCTGCTGAGAGCTCAGCATCTGGAAGCCATCAGGCCTTGGGCGGGAGGGGGAGTTGCAGGGGAGGGCTGAGGGGGGCATCCCTCCTTCAGGCCACACACAGGCCCACCCCCTTGGGAGCAGTGGCATTGGGCCCTTCCACTGCTGGCTGCTTTCGCCCTCACCCCACTGGCTAGCTGCTACTTCTGCAGCACTCGGTAACATCGTCCATAGCATGCTGGGAGCCTCAGGTCTTTATATGGCGTGATCTGCCTCCATGGAATAGGTCAGGATAAAACAGAACTGTCCCAAGAAGTGGCTGATCCAGTGACCCATCTGTGGAATGAATGCTGCCGGTCTTGTCCTTTGTACACTCTTAGCTCACAGTGGCTGGGATGGTGTCTGGAGGCGGTGGTCAGGCAGGAGTGGGTATCTCCTCAGAACTCTAATGACAATGTATGAGCTACTGAAAGAGGTGGGCCAGATAGACACATCGAGGAACTTCCAAGTGTCCTGAGAACTGTCTGTGGTTGCTGTCTGGGGTCCTCTTACATTAGAACCATAAGGATTAGCCATGCAGGTTTCTGGGCCTTCCCAGCCTGGCAAGGCAGATATTAGGATGGCAGGTGAGGCCTGCACAGCTGTGAACCCCTGTGTGTTGATACCCAGACATTGCTAAGAATCTCTTCTAGAAGACAGAATTCTAGGAAAGAAGTTAGGGAATGCATGGGTTCTAAGCAGACTGCATCCACAGACAGCTCCTTCAGTCCTATGGGTATCCCAGGGCACAGCCCTAGGGCTTCCTTGGGGGTGATCTGCCAGAAACAGGCCTCTAGCAGGGAAGGGATGCGGGCTACATCTGGGTCCCTCTGGTGATCAACTATGAGGACAGGGGCCTTCTGGGCATAAAGTTTGGAGGACCTCTATCCCAAACCTACTCTTGTTCTCCCCGGCAGCCTAGCCAACATTCCACTGACCCCTGAGACCCAGAGGGACCAGGAAAGGCGGATCCGACGGGAGATTGCCAACAGCAACGAGCGGAGGCGCATGCAGAGTATCAACGCCGGCTTCCAGTCCCTCAAGACCCTCATTCCCCACACAGATGGAGAGAAGCTCAGCAAGGTGGGCAGGGGCAGGGAAGGCTTCCTGGAGGAGGTGTCCCACTCTCTGGGAGAGGACTATCAGCCTGATTCTTTTCTTCTTGCCCTCAGGCAGCCATTCTCCAGCAGACAGCAGAATACATCTTCTCTCTTGAGCAGGAGAAGACTAGACTCCTGCAGCAGAACACACAGCTGAAGCGCTTTATCCAGGTACTGGATGGATGGGGAATCCTCTCAGCAGTATCCTGCCTTCCTCTTGTGTGGGCATTACCTAAACCATTAGCTTGGGATGTATGTATGGCTATCAGTCTTATCTTGCCCACGGAACCTGCCTACTTCCTGCCTGGGCCTGTTTCTTCATCCATGAAGTACAGTGGAGCGGGCTCTGGAGGAAGCAGGTTCTAGAAAGTAAGGCCATTCTCCGGTGCCTGGCATTTGGTTACTTGGTGGATTTGCAGAATGGGTTCTTCAGTATGAGTCCACCTGTACTGGGTAGCTTTGGAGGGCTTTCCATAGAGCCCTGTGACCTCTAGATGTGTTATGGGGTATGTCAGCTCACTCACCAACCTCTTGGGGTCCGCAGGAGCTGAGTGGCTCATCCCCAAAGCGGCGGAGGGCAGAAGACAAGGACGAGGGCATTGGCTCACCCGACATCTGGGAGGATGAGAAGGCTGAGGACCTTCGGAGAGAGATGATCGAGCTGCGGCAACAGCTGGACAAGGAGCGCTCTGTGCGGATGATGCTGGAAGAACAGGTGAGGCAGCGCCCTCTGCTGGCCAGTGTGATGCCCAGGCGCGGAGTATGGATTCTGTGGTCCGTTCCTTCCTTCAGCAGGTATTCACAAGAGTGTCTGCTCTAGGTGCTGGAGAGATAGATGGTTTAGGCTAAGAACACTTGTTGCTCTTGCAGAGGATCCGAGTTTATTTCAGTTTCCACCACCCACATGGTGGCCGACAGCCATGCACAGCCCCAATTCCAGGGAATCGGACGCCATCTTCTACTTCTGACTTCCACAGGCACCAGACATGCACATGGTGTGGATTCATCCAGGCAGGACACTCAGATGTACAGACACCAACGCACTCACGCACACGCATGCGCCCTAGGCCTAAGGGGAAACGCTCTGCTCTCCAGTGACTCTATTTACATAGGACTAAGAATTAGTCTACAGTTCTTCCACCTCCCTCCCTCCCTCCCTCCCTCCCTCCCTCACTCCCTCCCTCCCTCCCTCCCTTCCTTCCTTCCTCCCCTTCCTTCTTTCCTTTCTTCCTTCCTTCCTTCCTCCCCTTCCTTCTTTCCTTCCTTCCTTCCTTCCTTCCTTCCTTCCCTTCCTTCTTCCCCTTCCTTCCTTCCTTCCTTCCTTCCTTCCTTCCTTCTTTCCTTCCTCTCCCTCCTCCCCTTCCCTTCTCTCTCCTCTCCAACCTCTCTTTCTCTCTCTCGCTCTCCCTTTCCCTCTCTCTTTCTCTCTCTCTTTCTCTCTTCCTCTTTCTTTCTTTCTTTTTCTTTCTTTTCTTTCTTTTCTTTTCCTTTCCTTTCCTTTTTCCTTTCCTTTCCTTTCCTTTTTCCTTTCCTTTCCTTTCCTTTTTCCTTTCCTTTCCTTTCCTTTTTCCTTTCCTTTTTCCTTTCCTTTCCTTTTTCCTTTCCTTTCCTTTCCTTTTTCCTTTCCTTTTTCCTTTCCTTTCCTTTCCTTTCCTTTTTCCTTTCCTTTTTCCTTTCCTTTCCTTTTTCATTTCCTTTTTCCTTTCCTTTTTCCTTTCCTTTCCTTTCCTTTCCTTTTTCCTTTCCTTTCCTTTTTCCTTTCCTTTCCTTTCCTTTTTCCTTTCCTTTTTCCTTTCCTTTTTCCTTTCCTTTCCTTTCCTTTTTCCTTTCCTTTCCTTTCCTTTCCTTTTTCCTTTCCTTTTTCCTTTCCTTTTTCCTTTCCTT